CCTGGCAATGCCAGTGTTATCGCTCAGATTTTAGCAGTGGCTTACCTAGTACAAATTGCGAATAGGTTTTGACTGCGATCTCGTTCGTTTTCTTATTTGGAGTTTATAATAAGCATCAAATCTACGGAGACTGCCGGTGTTGTTTAGCATAATATTTTCCGGACGACGGAGGTTGTACCCACCCAGTACCAATCAATTTAGCTGGGACAGCAAACTGGCATAGCGTGCAACCATTTTCGCGAAACTATGAGGAAGGTATCGGCCATTTTGCTTATCGGCACATATAACCCTCTTCGTACAAGACATAAGTTGTCGAGAAGCACTATCCTCTTTTTTATTTGTTACTGAGGTCTCCTTTCAACTAGCGTCTGAATAATTATGGATATTGGACGAACAACTGTGATGGAATACTCCATATCAAGCCAGACGAGTATTCGTGACATCGAGGAGTTAGAGCTCTGCTTCATCTCGTGACAACTCGCAACCTACTGTCGTATCAATCATAACTTGAACTAAATACGATACAAGGTAAATTACCTAAGCTAGCGAGATCCATATAACTCTGGACTATCCACTTAGAAACAAACATAAACGAATATAATGGGGAGTACTTTTAGCCCAGGATGAAGATTTAGAGGGTGTAGTGCTCTCTCGAGTGGATGGTTTGGTCGTGAGAAATTCATCATCCACCTAGACAACGTTAGCAAATACTTCGAAAAAATCACACAGTTAAATGAACACAAAATGCATCGACACGTCGACTGTTAACAATGAGGCTGACGCTAACGTGCCTAGTCACACTATGATCGACAATATATTATATCCAAGTAGTTGGAGAAGTAGTTTTCATAGAATGTGAAGTAGTTCTTTCTGGAAATTAATCTTTCTTCCTTTTCCATATCTTTACTACTTTTCCAAAAATAAAGGCGTAGCATAACTTTATGAAATGTATATTAAGTATGTGAATGATTCTAGTTATTAGGAAAATAGGTGTGCAACTGCATGAGAGTTAAACGTTTCGACAATAAAAACATCCAAGTGTTATGTATGCTTATACAAATTAAAAATGACCGTCTATCAAAAATAACAAATACTAGCGTTCATAATAGAAACCATGAATAAATCTTAACAGTTCAATTTATCAATTAGGTTGAAAAGTTTGGTAAGATCTTTTTGGGCACAATCTTGTTGTTCACGTCCAGAATTGGTTCTTATGAGCAATTTTGGAAGCCAATCATTCATGACTTTATCGAAACGTTCAGATGGATCAATATTTTGTAGAAGTCGACTAATCCAATATAAAAGATGTCCACTGGCAAATAACTTCCAAAGTGGGTAAAACCTTATGAAAGGATTTCTAATAGGTGAAGTGTCAAATTTAGTACTATTTGAGATATAAAATGGACAAAGCACCTCAAGCATTGCGACTAGATGCTTTAATCTAGAAGCCATAATTTGCAATTCATTAAGTTGGTGAACTTTCTCAATAGAAAAGAATGGTGGATTTCTTTGGCAATAAATTGATTTGGCCAATTCAGCACACTTATCGAGATGTGTGAGAATAGAGTTGGCAAAACCTCCATCAGCACCAGCATTTCTACGAACAAATGCACTATTTGAATTCATAGCGATTGTACAACATGACAACGCAAGTCCAACAGGCGATGTCTGAATGCTTTCAGCTTCGCTTCGAGCATGAGACGAACATCTGAACCATAGAACTAATAAAATAGCCAAACCTTGTATTTCAAGAGACTTATAAACAATCTTCAAATTCACATTGAAAAATCCCGAGAAAAAAGATAAGAACGACAACTCAGGCGTTTCAGCACGAGGCGGTTTCAGAGGCTTCACCGAAATCAAAATCTTCGTGAAATCACCATTCAAGTTTCTCCTGTACTCAGTGACACATCCATTCTCCATTCCGCATAACTTTCCATTGGTGCCCAAGTGGTTTTCAATTCCAAATATATGTCCATTTAAAATACCTCTCATCTTGGACATACATTCGCTAAGTGAATTAGGAATATTTATGTCCTCCACTACTAGACGTAAAACAGCACCATTTCGTACATACATGTGGTCAAATATGGATGGGATTAATTCAATAAATCTAAATCGCCTAATCAATTCTTTCGGCCAACGGTGAAATATACTGTCTTCATCATCATCATCAACATTTCTCTTCAATACAGGTTTAGAAAATCTGGAAAGAAATTCACAGTGAGAACCCCTACAAGTTGTGGGATCCTGAATGTTCGAATTCCCCAACTTGCTTGACGATGAAACACTTGATGATTTATTGTGTTCAGTTGAAAAACCTAATTCATGAGCCAGGTTTTCGCCTGAAACATCCAGAAGATAATCCGAAATCCCCAAACGGATCGTCTTTTCAATACCATCCCTTTCGATTTCGCTGTAAAGTGACAACACCGACGACAATGGTTCTTCTATGTCACGAAAACCTAACAGCCACTTAAATATAGCATGGATACGTCTTTGATAGTAGGACGCGTTAAATAGATCAGAGGTTTGGATTAGTGAATGGATGATAGTTGGAAGGCGAATATCTGATATCATGTCATTACCAACGAGAACGGCAAAAAGTGGTAACATAGGATATTTCAGTTTATAAAACGGTCCTGAATTATCAAGAATTGCACACGGCATGAAATAACATGAAGCACCATTCAGTTTACAAGCAGAACAAGGGACGGATCTCTGCTTGGAATAACGTGAAATAGTTGAAAATGGAATAAAATTATAGACTTGATTATTATCATTTGGTCGATAAATATAAAAATCAGAATCTTTACTAGTAACAGGACATTGAAGATAAACAGCAAGTTCTGCTGCACCGATATCAGCTTCACGTTCACATGCTATGTATCGCACTGAAGATTCACGCAGAATTTCAACAAGAACATTGCCGCAAAGTCGTGGAGGTATATCGATGTTCAACTCTGTGCTATAACTTGACTTAGCATTAACAAGAGCTGATGAGAGTCGTCTAAAGTACTCCTTGTTCCGCTTCATCAAAGTATTCAATTTTATCCCCTTAAGAAAGCGAAGAAAATTCATTAGTTAATTTATAAAATGAATCACTGTATGTAATAAACTTGAAAAACACATGGCTCAAGATGTTTGGTGTTCAGTTTCTCTTCATTCATCACGTTCGGTCGTGAATGATTGACCATCATTCTGAGAAATATATCAATAGACGAAATGGTAATGATGGTATTACATATCGAGTGGTGGTAAAACTACGTATAAAACTCGAGTAACACTTAATAAATAATTGGCTAACCGTGTATGCGCACTTCTGATGAGTCACATACTTGGACACAACAACCGTTTTAAATGGTCGTGGTCTAGACTAGATTGACTCCTGAATTCTACTGTGAAATTTGTTAAATTGAATGCTTAATAAACAAATTATCCTCATATGAATTAGACTTCCACGTATACAATTTACTGCATAAACATGTTAATTTGTAGAGGTCATAACTCGAGTCTCAATGTGAGACATAATGTTTAGTGTCTCGTTGCAAAAGTATTTTGCAACATTAGTCAAGCGGATATTCCATGTGTAGAAGATAGAGCTTGAAACACACTTTCTGATGATTTAATTCATTAGGCAACTGTATTGGCCAACTGTATATAGATTTACGTGTACCTTCCAAAACAGCAACATTGGCCAAACAGAAAACAGAGCATATCTTACATTCTTTGAATATGTTCCAAAAAGTCTTAGAACAAGGGAAAGAAAGATTCTGAATAGTGCAATCACCAACCACCAAACATCTCCTTGATACCGGACATCAGGTAGATAACTTGAAATCCTTCAAGGTGATTATTAGTAAACAGTCAAACTCCAGTCTCCTCAAGTTTGCTAAAGCCCTTGCTATCAGGCGTTTAACTCCTTCTTGCATTCATTACATCATTCAGTTCTATTCCAACTATCGTCCAAACTAGTAGTCTTATTCTTACCAACTGAGCTCTACTCACTTTTTTCCTATCAGCATTTACTCATTATGTAATCACTTGTTTCTGGCTCTTTCAACTGTTGTCACAATCAATGTTTTGTAGAATGTTCTTTCATATAAGGTGTACATTTACAATATTCAGTCTATCCAATTTATTTACACTCTTGCCATACTATACCACTAATGTGTCTTCACAATATAACTTCCATCCACACCATCTCATGTAACTAATTTAAATCCATTATGTAATCATGATTTCTAGATAGCACTGCTTGCAAACAGCTGACGAGAACCAGACCAAATAAAAACAATCAAGGTCATTTTCTCCTACAATCTTCCAGTTCTTCCTCTTTTCAAAATGATAAAGGCAACTATGTGTATGAAATCTATTACACATCTAACGTATACAATTATAAACACTAAGATGCACCGATCGCTTCAATCAATTAGAATATGATCTACAATAGTGATAAAATGTATACCACACAAATGTCTTAAGATTTAAGTGAACTGGAAAATATGTAGGCAGTTAGTTAGGAAAACAAATTACTATGATAATGTAAGTATACCATACCTCTTTCGGATGACATCCACCGAAAACAAAAATCGGGTCCACACGACACAAACTAAACTCTTTTAAGTATAACTGGACATAACTCTTAAATGCCAAATACTCCCCACCAAATCCACATCGCAAAGCTGCTTGACGATAACAGACAGCAGCAAAGTTCTCGGCATCAATAACTAAAGGCTCGTTATGCAATTCATATTTGGATAGGTTTCCAACGCTACGTTCAATATACGTGCTCAAACCTCGGATACCCATCTGTTCTAAAACATAAAACAAGATGATACAAGTATTGGAATCTTTAAAAACAATAACAAAAACGTAAGAATAGAGGGAAACATTCGAGTCTAGATATGACGTAGCGAACCTAATACCCATAATACAAATCATCAGTAAATAACTAGGTCAATAGAAATTTCATAAAAAGTGACAAACCAACCCCACGTATTGGATAATCTTTTATTTTGCCTAAACTACTTTATCTTCCTTAGATAACTCCAACCACTATTCTATCCATGGGATTGGTTACTTTTACTAGACTAGATATGAAATAATTTGTCACTAAAATCAATTGCAGCTCACTTACTGAATAAACCAAATCCAATCAATACTCAAGGAACAACCACAATCAAACTGTATCGATAGAAAGATGAATTTCACTCTACAGATAATGAATGATCTATCTATCTATCTCCCTTTCTCCCTCTATACTTCCTAACCCAACTATATACCAACCTACCTATCTATCTATCTATCTACCTCTATACTTCCTAACCTAACTACATACCAACCTACCTATCTATCTATCTAGCGACAGTATAAACAATTAAGCAGAGTTCAAATAAAAAAATATTGAATCATCACAATAACAATATGTTTAAAAACATATACATATAGAGATGTTATGATTCATCACGTCAAACTGCATCAACAACATCTGTACAACAGCGTTGAGAGACCACAGAACTTTCCAGACATAAAGTTAAACCGGCATCAAACATTAAGCATCCAGTATGTGCCATCGTAGCATCATTATCAATGCACAAAACGCCAACCAATTGCGAATCATTTCGCATAACACTCTTCTGTCATCAACTTCATCATCTCCTGTAGACGCACATTACAACCAACACCACTGACAGTGAAAACCTCCTGAGGAATTTCCAAAAGGTAGAATACTCATTAAAGTATGATAACAAGTCGTGAATTCAACTGTTAAAATAATCAATATCATACTGGTCAATTAATTTACACACAGACTGGATTATTCTTCTCTCGCCACCCTATCACATCAAAAATCATTACCCTTAAAAACCACTGCAATCAGAAAACCGGTCACGTAAACATTTAGCGTGACACACGATAATGTGTGCCGTGTTCAGCCAGTCTAACATAAACACGATCACATATTAGATTGTTTTGAAACACAATTCTCGGCACTACAAATAGTAAATAGTTGTGAGGTTTAAGTGACCCTACATCTGACTCGAGTTAGATCAGACGAATGCTCGTTATCGAATGATTGCTGTCGAAATATACATCCTGGCCATTTTCACATGATAATTATCGACTTGATTAATCCACTTCAGTAAATAACGGGATTAAATACGTCAACTGCGAGAATGAATGTTTGAGTATGAATACTTTGTGAAATCACTGATCGGAAAGTCAAGCAAAAGAAAACCATGCACAATGGGCAAGGCGACTGAGCCAACTCGATTTACCGAGTGTCAATCGATATTTATAGTCACACAAAACTAAATCACAGATATGTCAAGGGTACGGTACGACAACAAACATAAGGCACATACATACACACGCTTACATAAAAACAGTCAAGGTTGATAACACAATACCTAACAAGATCAACATGTAACTCAACAAGGTGAATAAATAAATCGGCTTATCCCGAAACTAGAATAAGCTTCATGGGCTCCACATAGCAACCGACACTACGAGGTGTCTATCTATACTACGATGTTCCCATCTTATTTCCTTAATGTTACATCGTTTCAGTTAACAATTAATACATACTACATGATTTATCATGTTTATGTAAGCTAAAATATTTGGGATCTGAGCAACTTATTCAGTAAGTTGAGTAAATGGGAAAAAGATGAAAGACACAAACCATGGCAAACAGGTTTTGGAGTAAAATCTTAGGAAACATAATTTGTAAAACACGTTCATGTTCTTACATGCCATCCACTAACTAGTCAGTGATCATCTCTTCCTCTCTCTCTCTCTAATATAAACAAATATACACGGTACCGGACATGACTATTATTTACCTTATACTATTGTCTAAAGTTTGCAACATATCGAAAAACTACGATCACATAGAGACCGACAAATATCTCACAAAGGGCAAATCTCACAAGTATGGAGCACAGCTGGTTTCACCACAGTATTTCACTTCTTAGCTTTTATAGAAACACCAAATCTGTGACACAGATCAGGAGAATCACCATCAACTATTCCTCTGGTCATCTAGTTAGTTTCACATCTACACTATCACCTGTTCAACTAAAAACAGATAGAAATAAGTCTTCTCACCCGAGTATCTTGTGCTGTCTTACCAGTGATAGACAGTGCTTTCTCTCACATCGTTACGTAGATTGAAGTCACATTTACAGAGTTTTCTAGAGTATGGTGGTCAGTTGAATCGTTGCTCAGAAATCTCCATTTGGCGCTCTATGTATCTTTAAAGATGGTCATCAGCAAGCGCTGAATTGAATGAGCTGAGACCAACTATTATTTATCTAAAGATCACAAGAAATCTCGTGTTTACTATTACATTTCTCTTTCTCCATGTAACAAAGTGAAAAAAACAGAATTAAAACACTTGCCATGTACAGTATAAATCCAACGGTAGCCAACACTGTATTGAAATAACTGAGAAAATGTAAAGTACATTGTGAGTATTCTCATATGTAAACTAAATCACTTTAGTTGCATATTCATGCTTTTTAGTATTGAACTTCTTCATATGGGGTATTTGTTTGAATCATTGTCTAGTCTACTTAGTTAAATACAGTTAACATACGGTAGTCCATATGTCCATTACATGGAATCACATCACATATCATCACCACTAGATTACACCTTGTAGTAAACACAATTAGTTCAACACAATTTCATACGATGCTTAATCAACAACGATAGAAGGCAGGAGAAGTTAAGAGGCAACAAAACAATTCCATTTCACAATAATATATATTTACCAAATCAATTGCATTACTTCGGTGAATACTTTTTTCGTACGCTACACCATACTACTACTTTTTAATATTCAGTAGTATCAGTTATTAACAAATATATAACTGATGATGACTTATTGTTTTTTACACGGTCTAGTTCTCTTCTCGTACAGAACCCTCCAATTATATTCCACTTTCAATACTTCATTTTCTTTTTAATTCTACGCGGCACTTCTTGATCTTTTCATCGCTTAGTCCTTTGGAAGTCCAGTTGTTTTTACCTAATGCATTAGTCTAGAAACATTATTTCAATTACTACCGTCAATCACCTTATTCTTTCTAATCCCATTTCACACAGGCCTATGCTAAACCATGATGTATATCCACCACTCAGTTGAACGAACCGATTCCCATCAAACTACGATTTTCCTAATTAAATTCAAGTCAATTCAATTCAATTGAAGTCATCTCATGATTAAGGGCTAGCAAACATCAGTGGTTATACACTCTTCTAATAGTACCACATTTCCATAGAAAGTCTTACTTTCTACTTTCAGATCTCATATAACGACTTCATCCTCTCACGGATTATACACAAAAGTAAAACTACGTTAATCCAATACACATAAACAAATCATCGTCTACTTGTTTCGCTCAATATAAGCGAAATCCAATCTAACAGAATTTTCATGATAAATTTCAAAACAATGGCGAACTGCGTGACATAACAAGTACTGACAACATTATTTCGAATTATAAGCAGACATGAATGGTGGCTAGCAGTGGAACACAACAAGCCAGTTTAGTTCTATTTGAATTTCGTTAACTGGATGTGCTTGAATGCGAGTTCATGTTCACTCTCAGACTCCAACCGACACCATCCACTTCAAAGATCATCGCATTTGGATCAGTAGCTAATTAGAAAACTCAGTGATGCTTGAATAGAACACCATTGGGTCCGAGTCCCGGAGTGCTCATAAACATCACAACCAGACGAGTCACAAATACAACGTGACGGACGTCCTATATTTTATTGCTAGCCAGCAACACCAACACCACCACCATTCATCACTGCTTATAATACTTGTCACTCGCAATATACAGGCAATCCACACACGATGCACATATGCCAATAACAGACTGATCAATTCCAGTCCGAAACGTCAATCGGAAGATTCAAACAATCTATATCTATTACGGATATTTTACAAAGACGGTAAGCATGTCACCAACTATCGGATAACTTGTGAAATAAACAAAAATAATTCTAAATCGACATTCTAATAGTTCACCATCATTACAATCTCAAATTCATTATAAACGTACATTAGTTGGTAATACTTAAAGTCAAATAAACTTACGTTTACACCACAATGTGACATAGCTCGTTCAGTGATATTGAATACCACTAGCAATATCTCTCCTCTCGAGACTGAAGTATAAATCAGCCACCACAATATTCACCAGTTTCTAAATCTTTCGGTACATTCTCTTCCAACAATCTCTGCATTTGGAAAGTTTGTTAAAGTTTCACATACTAGTATTAACTCTCTCTCCCTCTCTCATATGCACACACACACACTATCAGGGATTAGAAACTACATGTCTATTACAAATCACTCACCTCGCTCACACGCCTTCCTTAAGAGTTTATCAATTAATACTGAGCATCAAAACGCAATTGAGCCAATCTTCAAGAAAGAAATTCACGAACCTGTTTCACAAGTGCTAAATACATTGCAACACCTGTAACGTACATCTCAGTTTCTATGGACAACATAGAACAATCAAATCAGCATTGATCGGACGTGTGAAGTGCGTTACAATATGGCATCAATATACATCAGTGATATGGTAATAGAGATGCATCAATGCTTGCTTGTAGGGGCGGACATTTCAATGTAAAATTCGGCACAACACAATCCTTGTTTTGTGACATCACAGGAAACTGGAGCAAACAGTAGTTGTAGAACAGTACTCTAACTACGACATTACTGACTGACACATTCCCACACACACACACACCATTCATACATATTCACCAACAATATCAACTTCAAACACTTCGTTATGCAATTCTTTACCTCACTCACTCACCATTCACATTTAACCTAATCCCTGATAATTAATAACCATTCACCAACTATTTCAACAAACCTACCAATAAGTCAAAACTGAACACATCAATCG